GGTGACTTGGCTCGTGTACATAGTCATGCGACACAGGAGAAATCTATACTGAAAGACACATGACCTGTAACCATTCAGGCTAAGTATCTACAGTATTAGCAGGTCTGGATGCACAAACTATTCAACTTCAACACAGCTGTGCGGTACTTTTATTTAATATCAATACTCAACACAACTAATATTTATTCTTTCTAATGTTTTGTTACAGGTCTTAGACAACCTTCACTATAATATAAAACAGTCTGTGTGACTGAGGGGGATGATGTGTGCATAAAAGCCCACTGTAAACACATAACACCATGCTAAATAGCCATTCAGATTGCCTGATAAAAGCAAGCTCTCCAGTTATTTGTAGATTCTATTTCCAATTAGAGGTGCACCAATAGCACTTGTTCAGATTAAGGCAGCAAGTACTTTATTAAGTGGAGCAACCAATGTCGAGTACCGATCTGAATACACTCGTAATGTATCTAAACAAACTTAATTTACAGAACAACACAGATACTGATGCTGCAAAGCATTAGTGCATCTCTACACCTTAACTATTTGAATACATAAAAAAACTTCTTAGAATGTCACCAAATGTTAGTGCCTATGATAAACTCTCAAATCATTTAATTTCTTTTGATTCAATTACTGTGATCTTAATCTAAGTAGAACCTTATAACAAGCTATGTTGACCCATCTAATCATATAATGAGATGAAAGGCAATACTGAAACAAGGTTTGGCGGTTCAGAATTTTGTAGCTGCAAAACACTACAGTATAGGCACGATCAGAGCCAGTCACACTTGAAGCGATTGATCAGAATAGAGCAAACAATCAACAACGCTGCACGCAATGTAAATGCACGGATATGTGTTCTGCATATAGAAGCTCAATGCAAAGCAAGTTTGGTTGGTATGTGTGGGACATCTGTTTCCTCCAATCAGGTTTCACTTCTGCTGCCTTGCTAGCCTATGGAACAACAGATTGGGGAAGTGGCCCTGTTGTTGCACAACAGAGATTCTTTCTGCACCCTTGTGGGTGACTGTTACCCCCCGTTCTTACTTTCATGTGTGTTTACACATCTCGTTGTACTGATCTGTATCGGTGGTATTGTGGTATGCCAGTGCATTCCAGTGTGAGTGTGAGCTCGATTTGAAGTATGTTAAGGCTGAAAAAATTGCCAGTTAATCAATTGGTTTTGATCATTAATAATTTAAGACATTTATCAATCAAAAATGCTGGTTCTTAATCAATCAATCTGTCTGTAGTATGACAAAACTAGAAAATGTGTATGAGTGGGAGAGACAGTATGTATGTGTTTTACCTAAACATCATGGCAGATGTGGTTCTTATTATTCCTTGTGACAATAACTATGTTATATGTGTGTGTACAAATGTACAAGACAGAGCCAGAAAGGGGAAAAAAAACAAAACAGGATATGTGTGTGTGTGTGTGTGTGTGTGTGTGTGTGTGTGTGTGTGTGTGTGTCCTCATCTCACCTGGGTATGGTGACACACTTTGTGTTGCTGTTCTGTGTGCTGATGGCTTTCTCCAGCTCATCCAGCTGCCCGGTCTTCTTCAGCTTCTTCACCAAGCTCTTCACAGCTTTTTCACACCATTTGTCCTCCTGTCCTCCTCCATTCTGCTCCCCTACTCCTCCAATTCCTCCCCCTGCTCCTCCACTCCCAGCTGGAGTCTTCTTCCACCCCAGGAGACGTTTAACTACCGGGGGAGTGAAGGGAAGGATGGAGGACATGGTGGCCTGTGGTATGTATGTTTTTGTGTGTCTTAAGTTTGTTTTGATGACCCTCTTAATCTGACGTAAAGAGAAAAGGGGAGAGGGGAAGGAGGGTGATACAGGTGAAGGGTTGTTGTCTGAATTCCTACTGGAGATTTCAAAAAAACTATATATACACAGAATAAATGTATGTATTCCTTAATGTCTAGTCAGAACTAGGGCATTAGTCTTGAGCAAATATCAGATGATCTACAAAATGATCAGATAGGGAGCGGAGAGGAGTACATCCAAAGAAACCTAAAAAACAGAGAGGGGAAAGAAAGCTCACATCAACACTTGCCAACACAAAGAGTAAGACAGTTCAGAAGATGAAGAAGATGAAAAGTCTAATGAAATACTCATTGCATAACATTTTCCTCTGAAACGATGACATCAATTATGCCCACACATCCAGAATCGTGAACAGTTTTTCTGCCCTGAGCCATAACCATCATATCTACCATAACCCCCTGCTGCTAACTCTCCCACCAAGTACAGTTCTGTATGCATCAGCCAGTCTGGTAGTCATAGCGCTACACACCCTGCACACATGCAACTGATTCTGTTTCATATTCAGCACTCGTTTCTCTGTTGGTTGACCTCTGATGAACACACTCTGTTGGTGGTGCCCATTTTTTATGTGCACTTGCAACACGCCCTTTTCGATTACAAAATTAAGCTATTCTGTTTGCACAAACGGGTTGTGCCATCCTGCAAAGCCACTTACTTATTTACATCCTTTAACGCAGAGACCTTCTCTTCTTTAGGGGGTGTCTGATGTATTGGTTACTTTATTGATACTGGGGACGATAATTCCTTATATACGACATATCCTATCAGAATTTAGACAAATATAGAAATTGTACATGCCGTATACTGAAACACTGAATTTAGTATTACTTTGATCGTCTCAATTTCAAATGTGTTTTTGTAATCTGTTTAAATGTCACATTTATAAGCCAGTTTTGATAAAGGTCTACTTTTCTCTACATTTCTGACAACTTTAGTGATTGTTATAGTGAACAGATTTATCCTTTATTTACAAAAACGACAGGGTGACACATGTATCAATCATCATCAACCAGCATTTCACCATTTGTACTGGACTGTTGGGTCACAGGTCAGATGCTTAACCTTACAGATGCTGTTCATACAGCTGCAACTCTGCACAAATCACTGTATATGTGCATACTTATATTTTACTCCAAATGGCAAGGGTGTTGTGTCACAACATATGGCTGCTTTGATTTATTTGGTCAATCTTTAAAAACTCATTGAAGACAACTTACAATTTATAGTCATGTTCAAGCATCTTTATTACTGAGAAGAGAGAAATATATATACACTAATCCTATACTAATCCTAAAGTAAACTTATCCCATTATCGAAACCCAGTGTTCACCCTCTCATAAGAAAGCTGAGCCGTGTCGGACTGTGTTAAACCCTGCTCGGGAGCAAGGTCTTAAAGCCTTGTCAGACAAAACATGCTGACCCGTTCACACCAACTGCAACCCTTTTTAGGTTTCACAGATCCTTTTATAGGACTATCCAAGGTGAGCAGTTAATTGTTCTGGAATTCAGAATCTGACAGGCAACGGTGCTGAAAACAGCAGGCGAAATGTGGAATTCAATGGCGACAACACACACTAAACATCAAGTTCTGGGCACTGACATGAGCTCTGACTTGCATTTATAGCTTAAACTATATTACAGCTCTAATGTTATTGCCAAGGTACATTCTCCAGTCTAATGGGGAAACACACAGCAGATCTACGGAGAATACTCCAACTTAATTATTACCAAATTTGAGAACTTGTCCTTTTTTGTGGGCCCAGTCCTCTCAAAAGACTTAAATTGTGTGTAACGGTGCAGCAGATCCAATCAACGGGAGCAAATAAATACAGGTAGAACCACTCGGTGATGCATATCTCTCAACCCTGCTGCCAGGGAAGAGGGGATAACTGTCCTCGGCATGCTACTCTGAAAGTCCAAGCTCCTTCTAAGAATTAATTTCACAGGCTTAACCCTTGGACTGCTTACTAATAGTGTGAGAGTATGAATGGCTTTCAGAAGGAGGCAGACCATTCCTGCAAATAATTAACTACAGTCTTAAACTTCACTACCTGCAGTTGCTCGATTCTGTCAAAACATTCAAGCATGCTATCCACTACAGTCAGCACACAGTACATAAAGAAGTGCTTCAGGGAACAGGCTGTGATGCCACAATACGAGAAGGATGGAAAACACATAGTGTGAAAGGTAAATACTACAGTCCGTGGTTATTAAGCAAAATAAGGGATCACTTGAATTTATGATTGTGGTTATTCCTTTTTGCTGAAGGTTGCTACACAAAGGAGGATGAATAAACTCCTACAACAACAAAACCGTTTGAGGAAGGGGCGTCCCAGGAACAAGACCCTTGTCGTATGAGGGAGCTTTAAACTGAACAGAAAGTCTTAATGTAAGGAACAACAACAACAACAACAACAAAAAAGCACAAAAGGTGCTGATGTGGCCACAATGCATATGTCTACTCGAAATGCTGACTACGGCTATTACGGCCTTGTGGGCAAAACAAGCAACGTTGTTTTTGGCTGAAACGTCTCGTCTTTTAGTGAGAAACTGTGTGTTTTGGGTTAACGCCGCGAACACACACACACACACACACACACACACACACACACACACACACACACACACACACACACACACACACACACGGTTTGAAGAATAAGCTAACGCTACTAAACGGCGATTCAGACTAAAACAGCCAGTGGACGTAGACTTTGATAAGCGTCAGGAAAAAAAAGCGAGTTGATTCCAGTGCTGAGTGTCCTTTGCTGTGTATTTACATGTACAGTGAAAATATTCAGGTTTCTTTTGTCTCGATATGACTGATAGTTCCCCCTCTCCTCCTCCCCTCGACTCCAACAGAAGGGAAAAAAAAAAAAAAAAAAAAAAAAAAGAGTAAGAAAAAACCGCTAGCAAGCTTGCTACTTTGTGTCACAGACAAATAAACAGGTCTGTTGCATGTTTTGTCGCTATCAAACCAAATCAGTTTCATTGTTTAAAACACACTTACCCGGCGAGGAGTTGGAAGGACGCTGAACGGTCACTCAGGTACCTGTCGGAAAACCCTGCTTGTTCATTTTAAATGCATCCGGAGAGACTTTAAACTGTATTTTCCACCTCAGAGCCGCCGGGATGATGGCCCCTCATTCAAAGCTCAACCAAACATGTATCACTTCAGGGAAAACATAAACGGCAACGAGACGCCACGATGTCCCGCCTTCTCTTTTTTCCCATTGGCTGAATCCCGGGGTTCAGCCGATAACCTGTTGCCAGACGTGCGTTCAATTGGCTCGAGGTCGTGTCCGTCATATGTTGTTACGTACGAAGGTATGTCGGTGATGTTTATCAGTGAGTACCTTGATTGTCCTTTTTTACAATTGCATAACACTGTAGCTCGAGTCGTCAATTAAATAGAATAAAATAGAATAAAGACAAATCTCATAAATAGAAGAATAAAACAGAACATGTTTTAAAAAATTTGAATCAATAAAAGAAAAAAAAAAAAAACACCCCTGCACCGCAACATGCTCACACTTGTATGATAGCACCGCAACTGTTGTGTTATTTACTGATTAATATTAAGCAGTAGCCTATATACAACTGATAAACATTATAGCCTATTTATTTTTCTAATGTTTTTTTGTTTTTGTTTTTGTTTTAATTAGGCCAAGCATGGTTAGGTACTAACCTCTCTTTATTTATTCAAAACTGCATACACACGATCAGTCCATATTAGGTTACGTGCTCATATTCGTGTTTTTACTCAAATGTTAGACCAGTTCAGAGAGATAAATGACCAGACGGTTACGGTCGGGTCAACCTTTCATTGGGCATCTGGTCACATCATAATGCAAATATGTAGACCTAGGCACCTGCAGCACCTGCACGCAAATAAAAGCCTTGCTCTGTGAAAGAATAATCGCCGGATGATGAAGCTGCTTCCAGACCTCAGCTCAATCTGTGCAGGTATAGGTAGTTGGTCACGTGACGTCAAACCTATGAGTATTTTGCTCATCGTGCACTGTGGAGTTAAAGGAGCCAAAGAGGCGCATGCTCAGTGCGCACTGTCACCTGGGACCTGTTGCTCGGCTGCGGCTGTCACTGCCTTTGTTTTAGATTTTAAAGATGCTTCTCTTTATCCTTCATCTTAATGGACGTGTATGATTCGCTCCAGACCTGCTGTAACCAAGCCGGATGAAAACACTAAAACAAAAAGAGGACACCACAAGTCGCTGTGTCTTTTATCTCAGTCGGCTTAACCAACGAAATACGGCCACACACTTGTAAGTAATGCTTTGTCTTTCATTAATTGTAAGAATGGCTGCCACTATTTAGAAGATTATTACAAATGTATGCTGTACAGGATATAGAGAATCAGTATGTTGGTGATTTAAGATTTTAGATTGTTATTTGACTGTAGCAGTAAATATTTTACATGCAGTGGAATTATGTCATTTAAAAAAAAGAAAGAAGAATAACATATATATATATATATATATATATATATATATATATATATATATTTGTTATATAGATAAAGGACCCATGAAGCCTTAATTAAATGTATAGCAGCCCAGGGCAAAATAATGGCAGTGTTTACCCAACTTTTAGGAGCTAACGAAATAGGGAGTTATGTTACATGTTCCACACTGTGTCTACAGGGGCTGTGTGCCTACTGGCAGGTGGGTACGGGATGATGCTCTGAGTGTGTAGACAAGAACAGATAATAACCCTCACTGGACCATCACCAAGGAGACAGAAACTCCAGAGGATTGCCTGCAGTGTTAGCTATAAAAATCTCCTAGGTAGACCAATGCCACCGCAGTGGTCTGAGTTCAGCAAGGGAGGGGGCAATTCTTTCTCTGCTATGATTATTTAAATTTTTTTTTATCTCTGTTATTTCCTATGTGTGTGCAGGTGTGTGTCTGATTTGTACACTACAGGCAATGGGCAAATGCTGCAAACGCAACGGGAGACTGCTGTGCATGTGCCTGCTGCCTTGCATGATGACCGGCCACCTTCTGATTTATATATTGGTGTCCATATTCGTCACGATCTCCTACAGTCCTCCCAAAATAACCATCCACTATATTGCCCCGGGGATTTCTGCTAACTCCTCCGCGTTCGCCTCTCACCCACTTGGCCCTTTCTGGAACCTTCGACTGGAGGACAGCGCACTGTGGAACCAGTTGCAGCATGCTTGGGACCGTCAGCACAATCCAATACTGAGAGGAAACACAACTGGCATACTAAGGAATCCAAAAGCTCAGATTTTATCAGACATCGAAGATGAATGCCTTTCTGACTGCATGTCTCACAAGTGTTCAGTCCCTCGCATGCAAGATTTAAACAGTTTGCCGGATCAAATGAAAGCATTCATCAAGTCAATGCACTGCAGGGAGTACCCCCTCCTTATCAATCAGCCTGGTATGTGTAGGAGGAACAATAGCAGCTTTGGTCTGGATTCTCCCATGCTCATCATGGCCATCAAATCTCAAGTAGGGAACTTTGAAAACAGACAGGCCATCCGTGAAACTTGGGGACACAGTGGGCTGGTGAAGGGTGCATCTAGTAAGAAAGGCGGATTAGTGCGCACAGTGTTTCTGCTTGGAAGACAGGACTCAAGCACGGGTCCTCACCCAGACCTGAAAAACCTCCTGGAGCTTGAGAACCAGAAATACGGGGATATCCTGCAGTGGGATTTCAGAGACACTTTCTTTAACTTGACCCTAAAGGATCTGGTGTTCTGGCATTGGCTCCAGGAATACTGCCCCACTGCCAACTTTGTGTTCAAAGGGGATGACGATGTCTTTGTTCGAACAGACGCCCTTCTGGATTACCTGCACAAGCAGTGGGAGGAGCACAACCTGTGGAGAGCCTATACAAATGAAACTAACATGGATTTGTTTGTGGGGGATCTAATCAATAACGCAATGCCAAACCGTGAGCCATCCACTAAATACTACATACCAGAACGTTTCTACAAAGGCGCGTACCCACCGTACGCTGGTGGAGGAGGGGTGGTGTATTCTGGCTCACTTGCGTTACGATTGAAAGAAGTGTCTGAGAGAGTGCGCCTCTTCCCAATAGACGATGTGTATCTGGGCATGTGCCTGCACAGACTCGGGCTCTCTCCAATCCACCACCCGGGATTTTTAACATTTGATCTCCCAGAGACAGACAGGGGCAATCCCTGTGCTTACAAGTCTGTTCTGCTTGTTCACAGACGGAGTCCCAAGGAGATGCTGACACTATGGAAGCAGCTCCAGAATCTGCCCGGTCAGTGCTGAGGCTCGTTTGCCTACCAAATAGGGTACATTGAGCACCACCGCGCTCATTTGGAAAACGTGTGCATCTTCGTGACTTAATCCTCATGTCAAGCAGGTGGTACCCTGTGAAGGTCATATACAAAGTACTGTACCTTTCTTCCAATGAGTTATGTAACACTGAGGAGGACACTGATCTACCTCAAAGGTACTTTTATTATGAAGGCATCACACAGTAAGGGCACACACTTTTTAAATCAGTACAGGTATGTATTTGTACCCTTTCAATTTAAAGAACATTTTATTTTACTACCTTCTAAAGAAAATATAATACCTTACATGTTGTTTCATAATATTTGAAGAGAATACTTTAGATATCTTTATACTATGTTACAAATTGTCACAATTACTATAGACAAAACGCTACAATGATTATTTTCTTCTCATCTGTTATTGAGAATGAAATGACCGACTCAGGTAATGTTACCCAGTTAACTACGATTTTGGAAGGGGGGCACCCTGATAGGCTGAGTCCTTGCTGCAGAGGCCATGGGATCAAATCTGACCTGTGGCCCTTTGCTGCATGTCATCTCCCTTCTATCTTCCTCTTTCCTGTCTATCTTCAGCTGTCCAATCTAATAAAGGCATAAAGCCCCAAAATAAGGCAGATGCTTTTTTTGCTGTCCTCATGGGCTCCACCAAAAAAATTATGATGCTCAAGGGTAAATAAATGTTTGTCTCTAAAAACATAATTTTATTGAATATCCTAATTTATTTATTTTGCTTATGGCATTATAATGCAATTCTGTTTTAGTTGCAACAATATTTAAAGTGGGATTTAACTCATCCAGCCATGAAAATTAATAAGCCACCAGCTTTGCATCAACAGCCCATTAATCAAATTTAAGTGATTATTTACTAATTACGGTCTAATCTTTGTAGATTTCATCACTTCAGCCATGTAGCTGCATCATACTACAGTACACTAATTAAATCCGCAGTTGTGTGTATCATAAAAAGATACTGAAGAGAGTATTTTATACTCCACTTCAGTCATGGTCACAAAAAAGTGCACTGGTTTGCATGTGGCTGTTTAAACAAAGATAGATGATGTGAATTTCCATCTCTGCATTATGCTTTTGGTTATTTGGCTATTTCTACATACACACAGGTCTGTGCATGTTTGGAGGCAAATTAAAAGGGAAAATGTTTGTTTGTCACTATTAACAAGGCAAGAGATTAATGTATTCATTATATTTACCAAGACAAAAGTAAATATATTTTGCATCTGTTTTAGCCAGACAGAGTTACATTAAAAAAAAAGAAACTACGAGAACAAACTACATTTGCCCTGCTGGAAGACCAATGGGAGGAGATGGGAAATGAGACCCCAGGAGATGAATCTCCTCCAGGGAGAATGCAAGCAGAAAAACAGCAACAAAAAGATCAGACACAGACTGCCATTGTATTCTAAAACAGTAAATTATAAGTCAAACAGTAATTCTTAAATTACAAAGGTGAAATATGTTTAGAGAACTGAATGCTTCCCTTCTCTGCTCCCTTCTCTTTATTGTATTAAAACCTATTCTTGTCTGGTCTCTATAATTGATTTTAGCACTAATAGGCAGACAGTGGCTTCAAACTAATGTGGTTGCAGAAGAAGATAAGTGTATCTAAGAACCATAGGAGAAAGAATATTGAGCTGCTGAGCACTAAAAAGGAAATGGAGTGTTGGAGGCAAGGTGAAATATATTTTGATGTTAAATGTAACTACATACCAAAGCCACTTTGAACAGTTTTTAATGCTTTCTGTCTTTTTATCTGGACCAATTGGACAAATAAAATCAAAACTAGTATCTAAAAAAGGGGGGTACCATTGTAGGTAAGTGATTACAGCTGTGAATGGACACCTTAATTTAAAGACATGACTTTGAGTGACATCTAGTGTTAAACTCCTGCAAATACAGGGGGGTTCCTGAAGACAGGAATGATCCAGTGACTTCGGCACTCTTGAGTAACAGCCCCACCCAGTGGAGAGCTGTGGTAATGACAGGAAACTTCCTGAAGCTTCTGGAGCTCCTCCAGTCAGAATATAAAACCTGGGACAGTCCCACTGCTGAGACAGAAAGCAACACAGAAGAGAACAGACACTTTAACAGCGATTCATCTCACAACAAGAGGACTCAACACTAAACACACAGTGAAGATGCTGTGCTCTCATGGATTCCAGTCTGCCCTCAGTCCATTCATGGACTTGTACTGGCCTGTACGCAGTCTGTGGCCAGAGGTCAGACCTCTGCTCCACCAGCAGGATCTACTGCAGAGAAACCTACAGGAGCTCTGCAGCAGTCTGGAGCTGATGGACAAACTTCAACACAAGATCCTGGAGGAGACGGAGCCTTTCCAAACCAGCGTGGCCGTGCAACCGCTTTCCTACCAGCTGGAGAAAGAGGGAGAGGACTTTGGCCTGACCCTGGACACTCAAGGCTTTTCCCCAGAGGAGCTGTCCATCAGGCAGGTGGGCAGGAAGCTGAGAATCAGCGGGAAGACAGAGAAGAAGCAGGAGGACGAGAAAGGCTCCTACTCTTACAGCCGGCAGGAGTTCAGACGAGAGTTTGATCTGCCTGAAGGACTGAACCCTGAAGCCGTCACCTGCTACCTGGCTCCAGACGGGAAGCTCCACATCCAGGTGGCCAAAGCTCCACGTGTTGAGGAGGCTGAGAGAGAGCTGACTATCAAGAGGAGCTTGGAGGAGAAAACACAGCAGAGTGTGTGTTCACAGGCAGAAGGCAGCAGCACAGAGACACACAACAGCACACAAACCTGAAGACGTGGACTCATCTCCATCTTGTTCTAACAATGTATAGTCAATGTGTTTAAATTATAATTATGTATTTTTTATTTGTGTATAATCAATAAATGTACTGAAACTTAAACTATGTTTTTTGTTGTTTTTTACTATTATTCAGTTTGGTAAAAAAGAAAAAAAATAGACTAACATTTTAAAGGATAGAAAGTAAATTTCTAAGGGTTTGTCTCTGAATTAATTATATGTTACATTCATTAAGTTTTTGGTGACCGGACAATCATTCTATAACTTTGATCTAGTTACCATCACGGTAGGATGTAATATTACATTTAAAGGAATATGTTTATGTACTTGAGACAATGTGTCATGTATTGAATTCTAAAACCTTTTGCAAAAAAACTCTTCTCTTAATAAAAATAAAATATATATTTTATGTAGAAGTAAAACATTCAAAGTATAATTTGAAAGTTCAATTTGTGTAGAACATTCATTTCACTTTCCCTTTTGACACGAGTTACAGCCTTGAATGTGGGTGTTCAACAGGAATTTGAGCTGAAAGCAGTGTATGATTGAACCAGAATTAACAATAGTTCAAAAAATAGTTTGATAAGCAAACAATACGTGGATTTCCTGTTAACTGAAAGGAGGAATAGTAAAGCCTTTTCTCCACAAACTAATTACCCTTTAGTAAAGCTGCCTGTATTTTGTGGCTACATTAAATCATCAGGTCCAAATCAGATCCTGAGACATGAACATTTTGAACGAATAGGACTGATCTTGTGTCGTCACCGATCACATGTAACAGCTTTATCCAGTGTGGCAAAATTTCATAAATAGCCAGTCTTGTTGAAGCTATAACGTTATACTACCCATAGTATAAATTGGCAAAATATCCTTTTAAAAAAGTATGACAATAAATATAAGTAATGTGTAAATATAAAGTATATTCTATGTGTTAGAATTGATCCCACATCAAAATATAAGTTATATATGCAAAGGACAAAAGAATAAATAAAGAAATGACAAAAAAAACTCATTTGAATTTAAACACTTTTATTTATCATACTCAAAAAATACAAAAGCATAAGCTCATCATTTATCACTTGTATAAAATACATAACTATACATTGTTAGTTGTTAGAACAAGATGGAGATGAGTCCACGTCTTCAGGTTTGTGTGCTGTTGTGTGTCTCTGTGCTGCTGCCTTCTGCCTGTGAACACACACACTGCTGTGTTTTCTCCTCCAAGCTCCTCTTGATAGTCAGCTCTCTCTCAGCCTCCTCAACACGTGGAGCTTTGGCCGCCTGGATGTGGAGCTTCCCTTCTGGAGCCAAGTAGCAGGTGACGGCTTCAGGGTTCAGTCCTTCAGGCAGATCAAACTCTCGTCTGAACTCCTGCCGGCTGTAAGAGTAGGAGCCTTTCTCGTCCTCCTGCTTCTTCTCTGTCTTCCCGCTGACTCTCAGCTTCCTGCCCACCTGCCTGACAGACAGCTCCTCTGGGGAAAAGCCTTGAGTGTCCAGGGTCAGGCCAAAGTCCTCTCCCGCTTTCTCCAGCTGGTAGGAAAGCGGTTGCACGGCCACGCTGGTTTGGAAAGGCTCCGTCTCCTCCAGGATCTTCTGTTGAAGTTTGTCCATCAGCTCCAGACTGCTGCAGAGCTCCTGTAGGTTTCTCTGCAGTAGATCCTGCTGGTGGAGCAGAGGTCTGACCTCTGGCCACAGACTGCGTACAGGCCAGTACAAGTCCACGAATGGACTGAGGGCAGACTGGAATCCATGAGAGCACAGCATCTTCACTGTGTGTTTAGTGTTGAGTTCTCTTGTTGTGAGATGAATCGCTGTTAAAGTGTCTGTTCTCTTCTGTGTTGCTTTCTGTCTCAGCAGTGGGACTGTCCCAGCTTTTATATTCTGACTGGAGGAGCTCCAGAGGCTTCAGGAAGTTTCCTGTCATTACCACAGCTCTCCACTGGGTGGGGCTGTTACTCAGGAGTGCCGAAGTCACTGGATCATTCCTGTTTGATCAGGACGTTTGCTGTTTCAAATAATCTTATGCAAATAGTCATCAGTACAAATGAGGTATGTGTATTAGGTTCAAATCAATCAATTAAGAAAACATACTTTTTCAAACATAACCTGGTGAGGGCATTATGCTATTTCTTTCACACGTGTCTTCAGGAACTTTATCTTTCTTTTAAAGATAATCTTTTCATGCCGTTTGCCAATCTAGTGTGTCTTTTTATGTTTGAGTGTGTGTATGCGTGTGTTTCTCAGTGCATTTTCTTTTGTAGTAAGGTTACATTCCTGAGATTTTGAAAAACTACACACTTTCAGAATTGGTTTAAAATGTCAAAGATGGAGGATAAAAAAAGGTTAGTCCTTGTATTTCTTTTTGAAGAAACAAGTAAATTGGAAAGTCAGAGAATGTAGGAAACAGGAGAATATATAAGTGGGTAATCTTTTTCATAGAGACATGTTTTCTAGTTCTTTTTATCGTAGATTCTATTAAAACGGACATTTGATGAATACTACATTCAACTCACCACCAGCTACTTCTGAAGGAAAATAGGAACCCATGAGACGCAGTTTCTTCAGTGGATGTTTAGTTTTGAGTTTCTCAGATGAAACACCATCTTGCTTAATATCTCATATATCTCAGCATGAGACTGGGCAAGCTTTTTATGTTCTGCTCAAACTTTCTTCTGATCCTCTCCTGTCGTTTACACATCTCTCCACTAGATGGCGGCAATTCCCTGCCACAAATATTCACCAGCAAAATGATCCTCCAAATCCCAGCAACGTTCCTGCTATCTCAGCACTTTACCACTAGTTGTCATCCTAGTTTAAAAAGACAAAATGAATTTTTCTAACACACATGAAAAAGCCTCACTGCACGTTGCCACATATGATTATACAGAGCTTCACAATTTGCACTTTTCATATATACTATTTTTATTTTTGTGAAACTAATCTAATCTGGATGCACAAATGTAAAAAAGTTAACATTAAACAGAACTAGAATAGCACTTTCATGTTTTAAGACAGATTTCAATGCAAAAAAAGGAAAGAATATACACTGTAGAGAAGATAAATTATTATCTGGTCTTGTTATATTGTGTACTAATAATGCACTGTGATTGTGATGGAAATGAATATTATTTAATTCACTTGTTAAAAGTAGTTTACATCTTTCCTCCGCCAGTTTCCTTTTTTATTTATTTATAAAGTGTACAGAAAAGATTGACATGGAGGACTGTGCAAAGAAGTAGGGCACCAACAACAACACAGAAGGCAAGATTTAAACCCACAGTCTTCTTTTCAACATATTCTATCTCAAAGACAAAAAAAAAAAACAACAACAAAAAAAAAAAAACAAGGAAGGATGATGAAACCTGGACTGGCAAACACGGAGCTTTGTTGCTCGGGGATATTGTGTCAAGGCATGGTGTCAATATTTTTGACACATAAAGAGAATATATGAGTTTTTTGAGGAGGGGGGGAGATTTTTGTTAGGCGTTCACCTTTGGATGAACTCCCCAAAGTGAAGGCAAGATAGAAGTGAGGAGGAGGAGGAGGAGGAGAACGAAAGGTAGGGAAAATAGCGGAAGGATGAGGAGGAGGATGGGGAGGAGAAAGCAAGACTCAGCTCCATGTAAATCACCCGCATTGTTCTCTTAATGCCGCCTGCGTGCGCAAACACTCGCATATATAGAAGGTGCCGGGACAGACACACAAACAAACACACACACACACACACACACACACACACAAGAGAATATTTGTGAGAAAAGTGGCACTTCCTTGTTCCTGTCTTAGTTTGTCCCTCACAGAGATGGTTTTTAATGCGCCATAATCCCCCTCTTTCCCCTGAACACATAAAAGAGATATCCTTCTATCTGTGTAAGTGGCTCTGACGGCCACCAGCTCATCACAAACACACACACACACACACACACATACAGCCGCCAGCTCATCAACATGCAGTTATTCCTTTGGCTCTGGATCGCAGGCTGTTAATTGGCTGCCAAGCAGAATGTGTGTGTGTGTGTGTGTGTGTGTGTGTGTGTGTGTGTGTGTGTGTTTGTTTTGTTGTGTGTGTGTGTGTGTGTGTGTGTGTGTGTGTGTGTGTGTGTGTGTGTGTTTGTGTCTGTACTGCAGAGCCGGGGTTGCTTACAAATTCCCGTCACGTCTCCGAGCCTCGATTAAGACGTTGCTCCAGTTTTCGAACAGACAGACATGTGGGGAGGAGGGAGAAGTAGAGGTAGAGAGGATGCAGCAGGGGGTGAGGGTGCGCTGAGGGGGGAGAAAGATGAGAGAACGCCAGAAGAGTGGGAAGAGAGAAAGAGAGGTGATGAGGCGGGACTCGGAAAGGGGGGGGGGGGGAATGGGGAGAGAGGTAGTGAAATGCTGCAGTGGTCCTGGAACTGATAACTCTCCTGTACTGCCTCCCTTATCTCTATTATAGAGTTGCAAAAGAGGAGGTGTTATTTCAGGTGGAGTTCCAGTAGGAATAGACCATGTCAGGTGACTGGCATTGCTGTACTTCCAAAGCTGGGAAAGGTGTGAAACGCTTCTGTCTGAATCTTCAGTACAAAAGGAGGACATGCATTAGAAAATACCTGTTTCTTTGATTAAAAGAAATCTCATTACAAGTGTGTGTACATTAAAATGTATACTAACATTTAGATACCCGTTAACACCATTTAAATCCATCCACTTTCAGATCCTGGGTCAATTTTGGACGTTGATGACACTATTGTGAGACCAGTGAGTTTCAGCTTGGGGCCACCATCAAAGTGTTGCTTTAGTTTTGACCTCTGGAAAATGTTTCCCTTCCCTGTGCATGTTGGGAGCAATTGAATTGCTGCCAAATCCCTACTCTCGCATCAATGGCAATGGTGTTGACACACACTATGACAACGTTGTCAAGAGACATGACAGCATCAACTGTCTCAGAAAATTCACAAATTTACAAGTGTTTAAGTGACACAGCTCTTTAGCAGCTGTCGGTATCATGACCCATGGCTATTAGGAGCTGAGGAGGAAGTAGTGTGGTGTTGTTGTCCACAGAGGCAGGAAGTCATGGCAGAGAGATATAGGACTCAACCACTTTGTTATTACTGGAACCATGACAGTGAAGGTCTGCTAACCTTAATGAAGTAGTCATTTTAACCCAAACCATGATGTTTCCATAACCCTAACCAAGTTGTTTTTGGGCCTGAACCCAATCAAACCTAACCCTAGCAATGTAAGATCATAAATGTATTTTGTCATTTAATTTGGAGGACTTTGAAAGAGTTCAAAACACCAGCAGCCATTATCTTCTGTAAACCTGAACGCTGGCTTTGTCTAAACGTATGTCAATGTGTGTCAGCATGCGCCACTGTTCAATTTCCCCCCTGTATGACTACTTCTGCTATCTGTATGGCACAGTTGGTGTGTGCAACAGATGTCAAATGGTGTAATTTACAACCATATTCCATGAAATTGAAACAATTAAAACTGATGGTCATAACATAAATCTTAACTTACGGTATCTTTATATTATCCAGGAGACCTTTGTGTTTCTGTACTGAGGACCATTGAGAATATTATTAAAAAACACTTCTCAGAGTGGGATGAAACCCGAACCAGCTGCTACTCGCATTCCATAAAAGAGAATGACAAAGAGTGAAAATTAGCAAAAAAAAGTGATTGAAGACATGAAGGAAATTGCGAGAAGCTTGGTACGACAATATATCAGGAAAATAAGATGTGAGCCAAACAATTACACAAAAAAGACACACTCACAGTTGCAGGCAGCGAGCGGAATGATAATTTGAAGGTTATAGATTCTGAACTTTCAGTTTTTACCCTAATGAAGCCATGAGAGACTGTTGGACGTTTCTAGGTCACACATACGCACAGTCACACAAAACACAAACTTTCTCTCAATTGCATGTGCATACTGTACAAACACACACACACGCACAACACACAGATTTCACTGCAGATCTCCAGTTATGTAATCATGCCAGAAAGAGAGAGAGAGAGAGAGAGCGAGAGGGGGGACAGGCACACCAGCCTAATCAGACACCAGCAGCACACACACACACACACACACACACACACACACACATTTCTTGCAGCTGTCTGTCAGACACTGACTGCAGCCATGTCGCTCTTTCCCAGCTGCAGCAGGCTTGTTTTGGTTTGTTGTTGACAAGTCATCATCGGTATAAATATTTTGATTTCAACCAGAAAGTCTTTATTATTTATGCCCAGTCATATGGCCACGGTAGACAACAACTGCTCAGTTGCTTTGTAACGGACATAAACAAGGCTTTGTGCCTCATGGCGCTTGAGCTGACACTCAGCGGCGTGAGGTCAGCGGCAGCACATGCTTGCGATGGCAGTAAAGCAGCCCATTAGCACGGCATTAAACGAGAGAAATCCAATAATACTATCTTACCTAATTGACCTCATTTGTTACCTTTTTTACTTTCTGTTCTCCACTCAAAGGTCAGAGAAGAGAGGTAATTAAAGAACCTGCTATCTTTGCTCTTTCGTGAATGCATTTGTGTTTCTTCTCTGCTTTGGTGACCTTGATTCTCTCTTATTTTCTATGATAGTAAAAGTAAAAGTGTACCCTTTACTTATGCGTAATCTCTCTCTGTCTCTCTGTCTCCCTGTGTAAGTGTGTGTGTGGGTGCCTAACGGCGTGTATATATGTGAAGGATTGCGGTCTAAGTGATCTCAAGGTGCTATCATGTTTGTTTGATGGAGGATAATTAAATAGGTAATAGAAACCAGCCTGCTCTCATCACTATCGATTCATTTGCAGCACACACGCATACACAAACACACACAGACCCAATACCCTAAAGCCTCTGGTCTCTAAGAGGAGATGTCTGATACTCCCACATCAGCTATCAACAACCTTTCATGTTTTAATGGGTTTGTTTAACCTAATCCACATTAGCCCCCATCCTTCAGCCCCACACCCACAAATTCTTCAGTGCAGCATTCCAAATCCATAAACTGAGTCCTTCACTGAAAAGCGTTTGTTTGATGAAAATCAAACAGATGATCCCACAAAGGACCCATCCTCAGTCACAAGCCTTCAGTATTCTCTTGATGCACGACTTTCACTACAAATTAAACTATGACAGCAACATAAGAATAAGACTGTTGCTAACAGTATTCTACAATAAAGCTCAATTTTGCATTTTTACAAACTGCTCTCGATGGCTTTGAGCCAATGTCAGCGTGTCTTGAGCAGACACAACTCATTGCCAGTACATATTTTGATCAAGAGCCTCTGGCTATGTTGAGATTTTCCTTTATTTACAAAGAAAAGGGAGAGAAAACTCTATAAATGAAAGGGTACCCTCAAATGACTACAAAAAACTTACTCCTAGTGGTATGGACTCATTCAGATAATTTTGGGTCAGAGAACCATAGTTTGTTCTGTTGATGTTCT